GGGGCTCTCTTTTTTTTTCTTTTTTAGAGACTCAAATAGTTAGGAAATAAATTATATTTGGTATCTGTGTTAAAATAATCCAGTGGTGGGACAGGTAACAGAGGAAATGAAATAGGCTACATGCTGGTAAATAATAAATGATGAGGACATGAGGTCCATTAAACTCTCTACTTTTACTTATCTTTAAAATTTTCCATAATAAGAAATTTTAAAAAGGTCTACTGGTAACTAAGCTAACAGTATATTTATAGTGGTTGTTAAAGACTAATTCAAAACTGAAGACAGGGAACAATCACAGTAAGTTTCCATGAGATGGAAAGGAGAATACAAACTATTATTTACCAATTTATTAGCAAGAAATTAGAATCCTGACATTTACATAAGTTGTTAAACTAAATGACAGTTATGGTGAAAAACCCACAATTCCACCGCATTCCATTATATAATCTCTTACTTAAGAATAATCTCAGCAAAGGGGTACCTGGGTGGCTCAGTCAGTTAAGCATCCAACTTCGGCTCGGGTCATGATCTCACAGTTCGGGAGTTTGAGCCCTACATCGGGCTCTGTGCTGACAGCTCAGAGCCTGGAGCCTGCTTCGGATTCTGTCTCCTCTCTTTGCCCCTCCCCTGCTCATACGCTGCCTCTCACTATCTCAAAAATAAATTATAAACATTAAAAATAAAAATAAAAAAATATTCTCAGCAAAGTGGAATATTTATCTGCATTTTAAGGTGAATAATAAAACTACAGTAAAGCAAAAGTCATCACCATAAACTGGTAAATAATGTTGTCTTTTGAGAAGGGAGAAGTTAATAAAAGACAAAGATACATATGTTTTAATTCTATAGGAAAATGTAATTAACAGAAGCATTTTCTTTACCAATGAGTTACTTTACAAATATACGACATATTATACAAAGTAGAAACAAATCAACGCCCAGTATGGCCTCACACATTTCCTGAATAAATATTTACTTTGGTAATACAAAAACATTTACCTTTAGAATTATAGGAGTTCCGTCTGGTATAAGGGGAAAATGGCTGCAACAGCTTTGGTAAAAAAGAGATTACTGAAATTTTCTAACAGACGGTGAAGTACACATAAAGTAAAAGAGCATTAGAACAACGGAAACTAAACTGAGATACTAGAAAAAATCACGGTGTAGTGGGAAAAAAAAAATCCTTGGACGACAGGTGCTTCTGGGCTCTGCTGCTGCTCTGGGCAAAAAAAAAAAACCCTGGGCCTCAGTTCTCTATCTACAAAAGAAGTCAGATTCCTTTATTTCTCTTTCTCGTCTCACTTCCTGAGCCTACAGTCTCCATATACTTCTTTTCTTTCTTGGTAAAAAATCCTTAACTTTCAGCAGAATACCTGTTTGCTGGAACAAAGATGACATTTGCAAGTAGGTATGACCAATAAGATAAAGGTTTAGCCACTGAAATAGAAGTGTTCAATGTGTCCAGATAAATCTCTTTAAAAGACACTATACATATTTTTTTTACCTCCTTTTCTCTCCTTTTTGGATAATCTGCTGCTAGGAATAGCTGGAATGACAGCCATCCTGGAAATAAAGTTTTGTCATATTTAAGAAAACATTATTTGGGGATTCTTCTGTAATTTGAAAAAGAATTTAATCCTAGATGGTACAAAAACAACATACTTACACTATATTAACTCCAGATGAAGTAGTTACTCAACAATAAATAGCAAAAGAAAATAAATTGATAGAAAGAAAGAACCCTAAAAGGAAAGATCACATAGGGTATCCCAAATCATTTTCCTACTAACTTCAAAGATTAAGAGACAAGAGAAGTTCAAATATTTTCCTCCCCTCTGATAGGGCAGTTAATATGTGTAAGTAATGTATTAATTCCATACATTCACTATTTCCTCATTCTTTCATTCAGCAAATCTACATTAACCATACTATGTGTCATGTACTAAGGTGCCTGAATAAGATAGAAAAGACCTCTAGGAAAGGAAGTTTACATTATAGTGGAAAAGCAAAAGGCAATGGATATTTAAGGGTGGAAAACTACACAAAGAGCTTAGCAATTCCTCTACCGATGACACATTCTCAACATCAAAAATATAACCAACTAAGTCCCTCCTTTTAATAATGAAGGCTCTAAACAAGAAGCAGAACTATTTATTTTTTGCAACTAAATCAACAAGTATTTCTATAAACCTTTATTTGTGAAGAGAGTAGGTTTTACCCACCTTTTAATTCTATAATGGAAAAAACTTCTTGACATTTCATGTTCATAACATCTTGAAACTTAAATTGTTATAGAATAAAAATGAACACAAAAATAACTATGACAAACAAAATAAATTTTGGCAAGACATTTATTCAAGGAACTTAAAATCTAATGGAAACTTCAGGAAGAGATAACCCAGTTATATAAAGAAATTGCTGACCAGTCAACAAAAGGGACTGTAAACTGTGATAACTAAATAAGACACAGAAATCCAGATTATGAAAAGGCCCAAGCAATTTTGAAACCTGTCAAGGCTTCAATAACAATGTATTTGTACTCCCAATCCACTGATAAAAATTAATATTGGTAAGTGGTGTGGACATGGATGTTAATATAATGATGAATGCCTACTACATGATTTAGGTATGACAGGCACTAGCTAGATTTCAAATGTGGAAGAAAGAATAACACAATCAAAGAGAGTCAATTGGAGGAAAAGAGAGCCTAAGGTTAGAAAAATAAGCCACCAGAGGTCAGAAGAAAAAGTCATGTATCACTGATGTTTTCTTTATGTACTGGGGACTAATGGCAAACAGCTCAGAAAACAATGGTTTTAGTACAGTGACTGACAATGAAGGCTTGAACTGCCCAAGTCCACTTATTTGCAGATATTGTTCAATTTGGTACAGTACCATAAACATTTTTTCCTTCCTTATGATTTTCTTAATAACATTTCCTTTGCTCTAGCTTACTTTATTATTTTTTTTTAATGTTTTATTTATTTCTAGGAGAGAGAGAGAGAGACAGCGTGAGCAGGGGAGGGTCAGAGAGAGAGGGAGTCACAGACTGAAACAGGCACCAGGCTCTGAGCTGGCAGTCAGCACAGAGCCCGACGCGGGGCTCAAACCCACGAACCGCGAGATCATGACCTAAGCGAAAGTAGGACGCTTAACCGACTAAGCCACCCAGGCGCCCCTCTCTAGCTTACTTTATTGTAAGAATACAGTAGATAATACACGTATTAAATAAAATACACGTTAATCAACTGTTTGTTATTGCTAAGGCTTATGGGTGACAGTAGGCTACTTGAAGTTAGTTTTTAGGGAGTCAAAAGTTATACAGATTTTCGACTGCACAGGGTTCATGCCCCTAAGTCCCCATGTTGTTGAAGGGTCAACTGTAATTTCCTCAATAGATCTCTACAGATCAAAAAATTTACTTTATACCTAACTTTCCATGAAAGAAGTAGTTTTGGCACTTTGAATATAATTCTCCTGAAGAAGACATTTCACATAGTAATTTATGCCCTAGAAGGCCACAGTGAAAGACGATGTATTGTAATGTAAAGCAACTGTAGCTAAAATGTACATATACAAACCATGTTATAGCCTAATACAATCAGTACATATGCCACAATATGACATAATTTAAGAAGAGCAAAATATACTATAAATACTGCATATTTATAATAAAGCATGATTATTATAAGACAACATAGTGTTTTTAACATGAACAATACATTGAACACTGTTAATATTATAGGATACATATATCTGCTTCTCAAAGGATTCAAAATGGTTATTACATATACTAATATTTTGTCTCAATATGCCTTTTAAAGTGGTGACTAAATCAATAACCTTCATTATGTTTGAGTATTTTGTATAAAACTGAGTTGACATCTGAACTGAAAAGAAGTGCGCTTTTTCATATAAAAATGTAAATGTCACAAAAAATGGTGATCTTATTTAATGTCATTGTTCAATCTCAACAGAGATAAAAAATCAAGGACAGCAATCCTCTCTGAAAAATGGACTACGGAGGAAAGAGACTAACTCTAAGTAATAGAAAATAAAGCATAAATGCCATAAGTTCTTAATGTAGGATTCAAGATCTATCTCAAGGAACTCCACATCACCCTGAAGTTTTATATAAAATTTTGAGGGTTGGCTTTTATCAGATTCTCAAATGAGTATGAGATTTAAAGAGGAATCTGTGTACTTAGAAATATAACGATCTTATTGTTAGCTGCACAATTTTACAAGACCTTAAGGTATTCAACAGTAAATACCTGGATATTAATATTTCATTTCCAGAGTTCCTGGATTTCTCTCTTCCCAAAGCACTTTCAAAAACAAACAAAAAAGCCCAAAGATGGCACAAAAACCCATCAACTCAGGGGCTGTAAGTTTTTAGAAAACTGTATCGAATTTTCTACTGCAACCAAGATCGGAGGGAAATGAGACAGTTGCAGCATAAAATTAAAGAGAAGAGAATGACACATATTTCTTTGGATATCTTCTTTATAAAGCTCTTAAAAATAAATAAGGTTGAAAATCTGAGATATTCCCTTTCAGAATCTTAAGGGTGAAATCCAAATGCCACTCCCCCAGAGAGAAGCAAGGAACACTCCCACCCTAAACAAGCAGGAAACAGGTTTCTTCCAATTCCAAGGAAGTGGGCAAAGCTGAGGTTTGTAGTTAGGGAATACTCTCTCCATCAGCCAAAACGAAGCGGAGACTTGTCACTCTTATTTGACCCCGGGGGGGGGGGGGGAGTGGGCAGGGGGAGAGGCGGTGGGGACCCAAATCTTAATAACTGCTGCACGTGATGGGCCCCTGATCTTAAATGCAGCCTTGCCAGATTGCTGTGGATATAGGAAAGCAACTCAGCAGTAGAGCTGAATGGCAAAGACAAGACCTGAACCTCCTGGTGAGGAGCTACGTGGCATTAAGCAAACAGTGCTTCGTCTCCCCCACCCCCTGCTTCCGCCCAAACCCTTTTCCCCTTTGGTTACCAGTTGCTCCAGATGCCGTAGAGTAGTTCAACAAAAGCGAAAGAAAGGTTCAGGCACAGGAAGAAAAACAGGTTCCGAGACGTCTTGTCCGACAGGATAGACCTGGGAGTGATAAAAGTGGGGAAGAGGCGGGAGAGTCAAAGGGGTGCCCGGACCCGGGGGCTGGATCCCCCTTTCAAGACCCTCCCATCCCAAACACTCCTTTCCTCACAACGAAGGATGGTGTCCCTGATGCTCCCTCCCTGGACCTCGGACAATCCTTAGGTCTGGGCCTTCTCCCCTTCGTCTGGATACCCCTTTCCCGCAAAAACAGCACCCCGCACCTAAACCAGCCCGAAATCTTGCCGAAGAGATTGAACTTGGGTGGTTTGTATTCATCGTCCTTGATGGACAGGGGTAACATCTTCTCTGCCCGGCGAAGGGCCGGGTCTACTCCCCTCTAGTAGTGGCTCCGTGGGTGATGGTAGTGACAGTGGTGACGCCTCAGATAGGACTCCCCAGCGTTTGTCCCGGGCCGCGCGCCGCTTCGAGACACAGACAGACACAGACACACACCCGGGAACTCGCCGACTTCCGGCCGGGGCCGCGCAACGAGTCCTGGGACGCGAAAGACGGAGGCGGGGCCGGGGGCGGGAACTGCGCGGTGAGGAGCGGGGCTTACGGCAGGGGCGTGGTGGGAGCTGCCGGAACGCTGTGGGGGCAGAAAAAGGTGGCAGCTACTAGGTTGTTAAAGCCCTGGCCTGGGATGGAATCCTTTAGAAGATCCTGAGGTGGCGACGCGCAGGCTGGGATAGCTGGCTGGTTGCGAGCCTGCTTTCGCCCGCCCGACCGCCTACCACTGATGTTCCCGGATGCGCCGGTATCCAGCGCTTGCCCTTTCCGTTGCCCCCTGTTAACTAAATCCCGGTGCTTTAGGTAGCAATGCTTTAGAACGCAGAACACGTGGCCGCCAGTGTGCAGAAGACTTGAGTGATGGTTTTGCTGGCTGGACTCTGGGGGCACCCAAGTCCTAGTCATCGGGCCCCCAAAACAGCGCCAGGCCTTCCGTACTAAGAAGGAAGCAGTCAGTAAATGTCTTTCTAAAGAACGTTAAATGTATCAGAAGAAGCCCTTTAAAGGAAACTCCTAGGAGACCGCGTTGGAATTGAGGTTTGGGTAAGGCAGTCCTTCCCGGACGATCCCAGCCTGCGAACCTCCCGAAACTCTCGAGTTCGTGCGGATCCCCTTCACTTCCAGGTCATCCCGAGGGCCGCAGCCGCGGCTGTAATTCATGTCAGAGCCTCGCTGCGCCTTTGAGGGAAATGCTGGAAGAGCTCTGGCCGTCGGGGGGCCGCGAGGGCGCGGGGGCGCAGGGGGGGCTCTCGAGCCCGTCCCAGGCACCCGCAGTTGTCGGAACCTTCCTGCGGCTGCCTTTCCGGAAAGTTACTTGGTTTGGTCAGGTCAGGTGGTCCATCACGTGAATGACTAGAAGTTGTTACCTTGGGGAAGAAATGCGGGAAAGGAGAACTGGCTTTTGGAAGTGGGCTAGAAACTACAAAACCGAGCTTCTTGGGAACTGCCTTTTCGTCTAACAGGAAGTGGAGCGTCACCGAAAGGGAGGGGCGGCCACTGGGGGACTGTCCCCTGCTTCAGGCGCTCACTTTGCGGGCGGTGTTTTTCCCAGGTTATCAATCCAGCGAATGAGGCTGGGTGGATGCACGCTGCTGGGTTTAGAAACCCAAAAATCAAAAAATGAGCAAGCGAGAGGCCCCTTCCGTTTTATGAGAACCAGGCTGCAAGCAAGTAAATCGGCTGTCCGCACTGCAATCTTCTGCACTCGAGGTAAGGAAATAGCAAAATGCTTTCGTGGTAAAAAACATTTTTTTTGCAGTAAGGATGTAAGTGTGTTTTGCTCTGGTTCTTGGAACTTTGGGCGTGACTGGGGTAGGGATTCGTTGGCTTTGTTTTTGAAAATGTAATTTTTTTCGATGTTCATGTTAATTGAAACTGCTGTGTAAAACATCAGAAATTAAGTCCGGGAAAGAGCATTTTCTCTTTTGCGTTTTTGGGCATATATTTCATTATTTTAACTTAAACATGGAAATATTCTCAATCAGTAGAATTTACATGTATATTTTAGGAAGCTTTTATATTAGCCATAGACTTTGAATTTTACTCTACTGCACTGCTGGGGAAACAATAAGTGGGTGCAAACTAAGCTAAAGATAAGTATTTCCATGTTAATTGGGTTTTTCTCCACACGGCTTTATTTCAGTGTGATAAACTGGGGAGGGGAAGGAGAGATGTATAGAAATAACCAAATTTCAGTAACTGATTTCCAGTGTTCTCTTAATTCATCAAGGTCAGCCGCAATTGAGCCTGTATTTTTGTATTCTGCCTTCGAAAATAAATTCTGCGTTTTATCCTATATTGCTACAAATAAGAAATTGCTCAGCTGGTTTATGGAGAAATCTGCATTATCCCTTTCAAGTAGTGTTGGAACAAGTTGGAGAAATGAAGTTTAATTTCAGTTATGTTGGTTTCCTGGGACTCCCCAATTGCCCCACTCCTCATCCAGAAAGATATAGATATTCCCAGGAATGCTTTCTCCTTTTCAAAAGCGGCAGTACCACTTCATTTCTTTCAGTCTTGGATGGCATAATTACCAACTTCAATACTAAAGGCATTTTGTTGGAAATATAAACTGGACACTAGTTAAATCAGGAAAAGTTCTATGAGTGGAAAATGTTTGTGTCTCACGTCTTTTGTCATCTTGAAATAACATTCCTTCTATGTACGTTGATCAATATATATTGTCCTATCAAAGTTAAAGTTAGTTTCTTTCATTCAGCAGTCATTTAGTGAGTGTCTACTATCTGCTAGGCACAGGATGAGAGGAGGGAAATAATTACAAAGCCAGCTAAGTTAAAAGTTCTTTCCCTGGAAGGATTTTATGGGAAGAAGCAGCTGATGTGAGGAGAGAGGGGGACAGGCAAATCAGTCTAGGATTTTAGAATTGTGTGATGTTTAATGTATGTACAAGGTATGCCCTTGGTGTATCAAAGGGAGACAACTGTCATTCAGTGAGTCTTTTGGTATATACCAAGCCTTTTGTCCCAGCCATAATATTGTCCCTTCAATAACGTGTGTCACGAAAGAACATTATTTCGGAAAACCAAAAAATGATTCTTCAGCTCAATTCAGGTGGTCATTACAAATGCAGGATTTTGAAAGACTCCAATCATAATTCTTAATTCCTTCGTGTCTTAAGAGATTAAATGGGTTTTTAAGGTTATCAAATAGATACAGTAATGAACATTTAAAAGTTGTCAGTAGATTTCTTCCCTGCGCTTTTGAACGTTCATTTTAGATCATCTTCTACTAATTAATTGCATTGGATTAACTATACGGAGTATACAATGGAAAAAGCCCCCAGCTTCTCAGACATGTGACTGAGGACTGTGAGAAATGAAAGCAGAATGAATGAAGGAGATGCTTATCTCCAGTCAGAGTTCCAGCTCCTTTCTGGCCGTTGTCAGTAAGGAATAGGAAGGATGCCGTCTGTCATTTCTTGGTGACCAACCCTGGCATTTATCTGCAGCCCAATTTAGACCCCATGCTTTTTTAGATGCTTCAAATTGAATGCCCTGTGAACCTCCAGTGAAAAAAGACACTGTGCTGGTGGATAAAACTACAGATTCTTAAAAATCTGGAAATTGAGCCTAAGTGCAAATTGCATTCCAGGGTTTTGCTCCATGGCACGTATACATATGGCATATAGGTTTTGATTGTGCAAACCCATTAGATAGTCAGGATGATGTGGGGGTTTTTTCCTGCTTCTGTATACTTCCCAAAGATGAAAACAAAAATACAGCAGAATTGGCTCCAACCTCACAGGACGACATTCTCTATCTCACTGCCTAAACATAACTTTTATTTATTATTTTTTTATCTTCTGAGCAGCAGGCAAAAGTTTATTAGAATATAAGATTAGAAAGGAAGAATTGTAAGAAAGCTCTCTTTACAGAGAGGGGACATTCGAAAGTGAATGCCCCTACATGTAACTTTTAAAACACAGAATACCTAATTTTAATTTCTAAAAATAATTTGAAACCTAGAGACAATGGCATTAAAAGCATTTTTAAGAATCTCCTGATGACTGACAAAGAACATCACAGAAAATTCTTTGATTTCCCCTAATAGTGCCACGAGATCCTGTCCCTATCAATTAAGAAGCCATAAAGAAAATTTTTAAAAAATTAAAACTTTACCATAATGAGGTAAGTACCAGTATTTTTTTGTTTTTTTAAAAGTTGTGGTAGAGTACACATGATTGCGATCTTAACCATTTTCAAGCATCTAGTTTCATAGTGTTAAGTATATTTACATTGTTGAGCAACCAATCCCCACAACTGTTTCATCTTGCAGAGCTGAAACTGCATACTCATTACCCGAGCCCCCATTTCCCCCTTCCCCCCAGCCCCTGGCAACCACCATTCTACTTTTTATCTCCATGAATTTGACTACTCTAGATACCTCATGTAAGTGGAATCATGTCGTTTTTGTCTTTTTGTGACTGGTTTATTTCACTTAGCATAGTATCCTCAAGGTTCATCCATGGTGTAGCATGTGTTCGAATTTCCTTCCTTTTAAAGGCTAAATAATATTTCATTGCACATATATAACACAGTTTGTTTATCCGTTCTTCTGTAATAGATATTGGGTCGCTTCCACCTTTTGATCATCGCGAGTAATGCTGTCGTGAACATGAGTGTAGTACCAATATTTTTACCTGAGAAAAATGATTTCCTACAGAGGTACTCTTGTTTCCTTGGAAATCAAAGTTCTTACTTGAGCCACGATCTGTTAGAAAATACTGTGAGGCCTCTTTTTAGTCTTATCCATTGAAATAGTTCCGCTTATGGAATAAAGCCAATAGCCATAGAGTTGAAATATTCTGGTAGACTAGAGCAAAGCTAGAGATAAGAGACTGTGCAGAAGATGCTGAAAATACAAAGTGGCTCAAGTGCGAGAGTTTGGAGTTTTGTGGGACCTGCCACGCTCTCCGTGCTCAGGGAAAATCATTGAACATGCCCAGTCTCAGCGATCCCATCTACAAAACAGGTGGAGATGTTTGACTTTCCTTCTCTAAAGGTTTGAAACATTGCTGATTTGAGATACTCTATAGCACGCGGAGGCCAGAGGTCTGACAGTTTTCATTACTATTGCTGAGCAATGTGAGGGCAGGAACTGGGTGGTCTGTGCCTTACCATCCCTGCCTTACAGGGCCGGACAGTGCTGTGCACATGGTAGGGGCCGGTAAAGGTTGGTTGACTGCTGGATATTTACCACAGTCTCTCGCCTTCCTCTAATAACGTCAGAAAGCTTATATGTATCAGGATTGCTTTGATGTTAGGTTTGCTCTCTAAAACTACTTATAAATTATAATTCACACGTATGAAATCTGTGTCTCTTAGAGAGCTATTTTGGAATGTGAGTTTATTGCTGAAAACCCGTTGTTTTGTAAAAGAAGGAGGTTCCGTAGAATATTCCAGAGAGCTGTTGCCTGACAGTCTTGCCTTCCCTCCATTTTCCTGTGACTAACACAGAGAAGTTCAAATGAAAAGCTCTCTTATCCTAGAATGGTAAAAGTCATATATTTGCAGATGTACTTGGTTTCTTTCTGACCCATTTCTGGAACTAATTTTGCATGGCACTGTACTGAGCTAAAAATGCTTTTCTATTTCTAGGCTTTCTTCTTAGGATGCATTGACTCCTTGGATCCTTACAAGTCGTGGATGTTCCTCTTAGAAATAAAGCCATTCCTGCTCCTGCCCCTAATACATGTCCATGGAATTAGTCATCTCCAAACACCATCATCATCTTCATCTTCATCATAGCTACAATTAATTGGCAATTCCGGGAGAAGCCTGCAAGGCTAAAACAAACTTTTATCTAGCATAACCTGGTGCTCTGAGGTAGAGAGGACCTCGCTGTCTGCCTCCCTAACCAATGGATGGATTAAAGGAGGCAGTACTTAAAACAAACTTTACGCATAATATGTGTATGTTATTTCCTCTTAAATGAGTGATGATTAAGCATATCCAGTTGATTGACAGTAGCTGTCCAAGGACGTATTAAAAAGGAATATGATGCTTTTGTACAGGCTTAGGAGAAAAAAAAAAAAAAGCCAGGACTGTTAGACAACCTTTGCTGTGGATATGGGATGGGATTGGAGAGGAAAATGGAAACACGGCTGCTTGTTGGCTGTTATCCCTGCTCTCAGTGCTCCCCTTGGTGTTCATTCAAACCTGATTTACCTATAGAAGAATGGCTCACTCAGCCAGGCTGCCGACAGGAGGACTTGATCTTCAATGTACCCAGTACCAAAGTTCTTTCCCTACAGCCTGTAGTGAGGAAGGAACTGCAGCTGCGGCATCTATGTATTCAAATACGGTCTCGCAGTAGCTGTTTATCCACCTGCTTTAGCACTGAAACTGTTTCAGAACCACAGTTTCAGAATGCAGGGACGGCAGGACGAAGCCTTCTAAAAGACAGGCTTTAAATTGGCTATCAGTGGGGCGCCTGGGTGGCTCAGTCAGTTAAGCGTCTGACTTCAGCTCAGGTCATGATCTCATGGGTCGTGGGTTCAAGCCCCACACTGGGCTCTGTGCTGACAGCTAGCTCAGAGCCTGGAGCCTGCTTCAGATTCTGTGTCTCCCTCTCTCTCTGACCCTCCCCTGCTCATGCTGTCTCTCTCTCTCAGAAATAAATAAAACATTAAAATAAATAAATAGGCTATCAGTGATCTTATATAAGTTGGTGGTTAGACTGTGAATAAAAAAGACTAATCCTGTTCATCCTAATTGCCAGTCCTTGACACAGGTGACCCAGATTGTGGCCGGCTGAACGGTCCATTCAGAACATTGTACCATTGATCAGATATACAGCAGGATCATAAGATGAATCTGACACTGTAGACACTTTCATTTATTAATACTATAAATCTGTTCCCACTCCCGTTTTTCCTGTTCCTAAATATTTATAAGTAACACAAAATAACTTATTTTGATGTCTTTAGAACTGTGAAGAAAGTAATGGGAGTTAAGAAGAGCCTTGTAAGAACAGATGGATTCTTCAGGAGGGAAAGTGAGGGAAAATCATTTAGGAAGCAGAGAATAGCAGTTGGTAAAGGATGAGAAAAGTGGTATGGCACTTCTAAAATAACAGCGAAAAGAATGAATTTCTAGAATATGGGGAAAATACTAACGGCCAAACTTCCCAGGCTACCGTAGAGCACCTGGGAAAGACTTGTGAAGAAAAGTGACCTTTCATGTACTATTGTTAACATTCTGTGTTTTGCCATGAAGCAAATTCTAGTTTGTGCGGCTTGAAAATTTTAATGGAAGAGGCTTACTCCGGGCAATAGTGAATATACTTGGGGGCAGTGTTCTCACTTAGTTTCCTTTTTCTGCGAATTGTCCTGAAGTCTAAGGTTTTGTTTTTTTTTTTTTTTTTTTGGTCAGTTTCTGAACCCAAACGAAATTTTCATTTCGCAGCTAGGTAAGATTGTGTTGTCTGTTGGTTATTTTTTTTTTTAATGTTTTTATTTATTTCTGAGAGAGAGAGACAGCGTGAGCGGGGGAGGGTCAGAGAGTGAGGGAGACACAGAATCAGAAGCAGGCTCCAGGCTCTGAGCTAGCTGTCAGCACAGAGCCTGACGCGGGGCTCGAACGCACAGACTGAGATCATGACCTGAGCCGAAGCTGGATGCCCAACCGACTGAGCCACCCAGGCACCCCTGTTGTCTGTTGGTTTAAATCATGTGTGGTGCCTGCCGGATGGAGTCCTATAGTTTCTGATTTTTGTTAGTCCCTAAAGGTTTGGGGAAATTCACAAGGGTGATCTTATCTAACAAGTGATGACTCCCCCCGACCCCTGTCCCGCCCCAAGGCAGATCAGCTCATTCTCCAAGAGCTTCCATAAACACAAGTATGTACAAAGGTATTTTAACGCAGAATGTCTTTGAAAAGATGCGGGGGGGAAATGAGAGTTGTGGCATCTTGTATTTATCAAGTAGCTTGGCCCCGGAACTGATGGTAGAAAGATGGCTTGAGCTTAAGACCACGTTTCATGCCTGGCTCTCCTAGTCACCAAATGGGGGATGACCCAGGTTTCTTACGGAGGGATGGGTTTCTTAGGCACTGTATAGGCTTAACTGGACCTTTGTTTGCATTCATTTTAAGTTTATTTTGTTAGTTTCAGGCATTTCTTATCCACTGTGTTGTTGAAGATAAATGTAGATTCCCTCACCTCATTTGGATCCCCTCAACTCCAAAGAGTGGAAGCACCTGCTGAAATGGGCCAGGCGCTGTTGTGGGCTACAGAGACTAACGGAAACTGCCCTCCAGATAATAGTTAGACTCCAGAAGGAACATAGTCCATGGTCATAATACCTGGAAACAAAGCCTCATAGCAGTATGTTCTGAGTTTCCAGGAGCACTGAGGATGAGAGCTTGAGAGGAACACTCGCAGGGGATGGGATGTTTGAAAGATACTTGGCCGGGGGCGGATGGGAGTAGAAGTTTGTCAGGTGGGGACCAGGAAGGGCTTTGTGGATAGTGAAAAGAGCATGTACCAACACATGGTTGTACAGCGCACTGGCTGTCGTGTATCATAAGAGAAGAAGCCTTTTGTAATTTGCCTCAGATTGAGCAATATGTATCCATGTGACCATGAACCTGGTCAGAGACAGCTAATCAGTTGCATCATAGCCGTCTCTTCCAGCCCCTCTCGCATGTTCGTGGAAGGAAAATCCCAGGTTCTGAATTGGCTTCTGCATTCCACTTTGGAAATGATTTTATCTCTTGGCAGCTGCAGGCCCTTTTCTGAGCATCTATATTCTATAATCATCAGTTTTTAAGCAAGTACATATTTTGGAGGATGAACCAGAGGAAAAAACAATCTGTACAATGTGAGGCAAAGCTCGTAGTGAAACGGCAGAGTAATTATTGCTCCTCCGCCATCTGTGGCATCAAAATGAAAATGACAGCTTCTCAGTGCACAACGTCAGGCTTCTCACTGTGTTTCCACTTTCTGAGTCAGAGGACATAACTAATCTTTGTTCATACTATGCTCTAGCATATTTGTTTTCATCTCCTGTCTGGATTATTGTTGCTTTGTCAGTCTGAAGGAGCTGGCCCTGAGAAAAGAATTATTCATTCAACATTCTGCAGCATTCCTTCTAAGGGGGGAATTTTGATGGATGATATAAGTAAAT